TGTCTTCTGGCTTTAGCCTTAGCCAATAGGCTGCTGGCACAGATCTGCTCCACAGATACCAGACCCTCAGAATGAGGGGGTGGTTGCTAGACTGGGGGTGGGGAGAAGGGCTGCCTGGGGCCCCAACCCCAGAAAGTAAGGGAAGGCTTAGCACTAGCACATGATCCTCACTAGGTTAGCTAAACAGGGCCTCAGTTACAGACTTCTCCACAACACAGAACTGTTTGATATTAAGACTTCAAAGGGTATTTTCTGGTGCAAAGATTCATCACCTACAACAAATTCTAGGACTGTGGCCTTGGAGCTGCCACCCAAGCACAAAAGTACAATTAGTAGACAAGTCTGCAAAGCAAAACCCATCTTTTCTTGAGAGAAAAGATACTAGCATCTAAAGTAACACAAAATGCTCACGGAAACAACTGCAAAACTCTTTAAGACCATAAAACACCTCAATGCCAGATGAGTTACTATAAATGTGTTTGGTTTTTAGTTGGTAGGGTTTTTGGTGCTTTAAAAAAACAAAACAAACTTGCATTACTGAAGCCACAAAGGATAGGAAATCCCCAAGGGCCAGAAACATATTAAAAATAAACTGAAACCAGAGGGTTAGTTGAATTCAAAAGCAGCCTTTACCAACTAGGGACAAGAAACATTCCAAGAGAGAGCTCTGGGGTTGGGAATAGAGGATTAAGATGTAGGTAAACAAAATCTGGGAGACTCACTGTATAATCTGCAGTCTTTTATCTCTTTTCTCCTGAATGGCAGGGGTTTGGGTTTACCCTGCTTCAAAGGTCAAGGTATGTCTGACTTAGCCACGGTATTTCCAAGTTGAACAGTGAAAAAGAAGATGAAAGCAGAATTGATGCCTTTGAATTGCACTGGCAAAGAGTAGTGAATAGGCTGCCAAAAGAACAAATCAATCTGTCTTGAAAGAATTGGGCCCTGAAAGCTTCTTAGAAGTGAAACTTCATCTCACATACTCTGGGAATTTTATCTGGAGAGTTCAGTCCTAGGAACACCATCATGCTTGGAAAAGTAGGTCAGAGAAAAAGAGGAAGACCCTCAGCAAGAGGGATTGATTGACAGAGTGGCTGCCGCTATGGGCTCAGGCACAGCAATGCCTGGATGGTGCGGGAGCAGCCAGTGTCACGTTTTGTGTCATGTCCTGTGCACTGGAGCCAGCTCAATGGCAGAGGCCAGGGAACCCCCAGCTAAGAAATTAAAATAGTTCTAGGGTTGTAGCATTTACTACTATCTGGCAGAAGTAAAACTACAAGTCCTCTGGAGAAAAATATTCTTAATTAATGACCTTCAAGATTCTTACCTAATACACATCAATCAGCTGTCAAAAACAATGACTGAGTGTCTGAGGAAATGAGCAGTGAGCTGCCATGAGCAAGAGTCAGCAGGAAGAGCAATTAATTGAGGCCCCTAAGACTCCACACAGGGAATGATCACATGCAGACTGTAACTACAGGAAACCTCCAAAGATGGTGCTGGGCAAAAACAAGCAAAAAAGAAAGGACTAAACATGACTAGGTAAACTTTGAAAATACAATTCTTTAAATGAATCTAGGAAGAAAATTTGCAAAACATTAGCATCCCACAACATTAGTCAAGGAGATGGGAAATGTGAGAGTCCTTTCTGGAGAGCAGTAAAACCTTTCCTATTTAACCCAGAATAGTGGCAAAGAGCCTATTGATTCTTTTGTGTGTTTCCGTTTAAAGGCAAGTGTTCCGAAAGGATGGTATAATCTCAAGATGGGCCAACACGTGTCTCCCTAACTTCATCTTGCCTGGCTGCACTTGTTTTGAATGGCTGGTATTTCAGCATTGCTAACTCTGCAGCCTCCCCCGTTGGGGGAACTTGCCTAATCTCACTCCTCCAGCCCCAGGGTAGCTTCATTGGCTGGTGCTCGGCGCCCTCTTGTGGACAAAGATCTGCTGCTTCTGCCTCTGCCTACAAGCCAGGCTCCTATCCTCGGTGCACACACACCAAGTGACTGAAGACTGCCCACTGCTCCATGAGCTCAGCTAGCACTCTCTGGGTACCTCCACAGAGTTCTCACAAAGTTCAGGATGCAGCTTCAACCACACTGGGAGCCCAGGAAGCTGTAGTTGCCATCCTAACTTGCTTCTCCTTCCCTTACCCATCTGTGGTTCCCTTGAAGGTTCATCCTTATACCCAGCACCCTGCATGAGGCCTGGGGCCTTACTTAAGTAGCATCTGTTTAGAGGCTTCCAGCCAGTCAGACACTCCCTCATTCTAAGGCCCCCATTTCAGCACATTAGAGATCATGTGTTCATTTTCTAAGCGCTCAGCGCAGTGGCAACCATCAGAGACTCATTGTCTCCCCTGGCCTGGCACTGGGCCCATCCCAAAGACAGGTCTGAATGTGTGCAGGGGAGGCACAGGCACAGGTGTGAGGAGGGCAAGGAAGCAGGTCGGCAGGTGCAGGGAGGAGATGAGAGTAGGGAGGGGCGGCAGCTGTGGGCAGGCGCCCTGGACTCGCCCAGCTTAAGGATTCCTCCTCCTGCTCTTGACCTGGTGCTGACACTGACAGCAGCACCTGCCACAGAGCAGGTGTCCAGCGGATGATGACGTGAACAGAAGAGCCACCAAGAGCAGATCATCAAGGGCAAAGATGAGGAATGGTGACCCCAAGCTGGTGGCTTTGACCTACAGATGATGAGGAGGCATTCCCACTGGGAACAGGCTGGGAAAGAGTGAAAAGACACATTAAAAACAGTAACATACTATGACAGGCTTGGAAGCAGGAGCAGCATCCATTTCCTAAACAACATGCCTCTAGAAACTGTATCAACTTTGATAAATTATCAATAGTTGTAGAGGGGCTTTCAGGCCTTTTGTTCATAGGGTTGCTATTAGTCATGCTTAACTCAAAGGCAATCAACAATAGGCTTGGCCCAGGCCCTGTAGGACCAACCACTCCAAGTACCCCTAAGCGTTCAGTGAGGGAGGAAAACCATGCCCTGAGGATTTAAGCATTTCAGAACTCCCATCACAGGATGTGACAGGTGGGACCCATTCCAGCAGTGACAGCTAGGGGGTTTCCGCGCCTTTGTTCTGAGATGGCAGGGACATTTAGTTTTCCTAGTTTGTTGCTGCCATTGTTTCTGTGACTGACAACAGGAGGAATTAGAAGAGAGTCCAGAAAGGACTATTTAATCCCAGATGAGCTTAGACTCTTAAACTGGAGCTGGGGAACCAACTGCCTCAGCTGCTCAAGATGCCAGCAGCACTTTCGTGGAGCTGCCAGGTGAGTGGCTCCTGGGATGGCAGCAGTGCTGGGACGTCCACCCTGAGCTGGTGCTCCCTGCCTGGCCAAACTCTCTATGTCCAACAATGTATTTGAAACATGGTGCAACGTCACCCAGCCCACTCTCCGGAACCCATATAATTCAAATTATATGCAAATGTCTTCCTCCAGAGCACCTCTGAACCCCCAGCAGCATCTCGGCCAGTTCTCCATTGTCCCAGCCTCAGCCCCAAAGGGTTTCCTTCATCAAGGATCTCCCCATCAGAGATGCACACGTCCTACCATTCCAACAGTCCCCAGCCAGGTCAAATGCCATCCTGTGGTCTGTTGTGCCTCCCCCTGTGGGGCCCATGTCCCTGATGGTCACTTCCCCTCTATCCCCAGCCCCTCCCATAAAACTTATTGTTGCACTGATTCCAACTCATAGCAACCTGACTGGACAGCAGAGAAGTATCCCATGAGGTTTCCAAGTCTGTAACTCAAGGAAGCACACTGCCACATCTTTCTCCCTCAGAGCCCATTGGGTTCAAACTGCCTACCTTTTGGTTAGTAGCCCAACTAAGCCCAGCAGCTAAGCCCAGCTCTCTCTTCTCCCATCTCCAGACAGGAAGCACCTGTCAAGTGACAGCAAAAAGTTTAGCCTGGAAGGACCAGCACATGTTGGGAGCCAGGTGGGAGGAGGAGGAGGACAGATTCTGTGTGGGGCCAGGTCATCTTACAGGAATCCTGCTGTGCTGCCTGATGTGTAAGGCCTAATTTCAAGACCCCAGAGAAGGCTCCTGTTTGGAGGTATGAAGATAGGACCTCCCAGCAGATGTGAGGTCTCCCCTTTCCCATGTAAGATCCCAGAGCCAAGTCAATAGACCCTGAACTGGGGGAAAGTGGACCCAGTAGGGTTAAGTGGCAGCTGTCTGCCAGCAGGGGTGTTCAAGCAAACCTAGTTGATTTACAGAAACTAGAAAGGTTTCTTGCATTGTTCCTGGCCTTCTAATGAGGGAGAGAGGAGGCGACACCAGCCAACAGTGACCACTGCCTTTATTGCCTCTGCGCTAGGGTTTCTGGGCAGCAGGCAAGTTTGGGCCCAAATTATTGCTAAGTGGCAAAGTCACCTTGGGACTTGCTGTAGGGCCCTGAATGTGGGTGGAATATGAGCATGCAAATTATATGCAAATGACATGCAAACCAACTCAGGAGGCTCCAGCTGTCTCTGGTCCAGCCAGGGTGCCGAAAGAGCCTGGAGCTGCTGGCCTGAGAGGATGATGAGAGCCCAAGGTCCCTAACTCCCCACTTTGCAGCCTGGCCAGGCCCTGCCTCAAGGGCAAGGGTTTGGGGTGGGGAGGTCCCTGAGCATCAGCCCTGCCACTGACTGCAGAGGAGCAGAAGTACGGCCTCAGGGCATCAGGAAGAAAGCAAGGTCCAATAGGCCACCAGGTAGTCTTGGGCCCTAAGAGAGAAGCAGCCTGTCCGGGTCACACAGCAGGGGCAGCGCCTAAGCCTCAAGTCCAATTCTGCCTTGAAGGTCAAAGCAACATATGCTAGAATACACTGATCGATTATCAGAAAGCAGGTGGACAAGTTTCTGATCCCATGGGCTGAGCGCCCCTCTGCCAGCTGGTCGAAGAGGAGGCTGGGTCCTGGGGTCTTGCTTTTCAAGCCTCGATGCTGAGCTGGACAATCCAGAAAGCTCTAGAAGCAGGCAGGGTCCTTGGCCTGTGCAAGTCAGACTCGGTTATTATTCATAATCCACCAGGAGGCTGTGGATCAAAGGTTGAGGGTCAGGGTCAGCAAGAACCCACTGCCCAATCCCGGGTCCCAGGACTGAGGGGAAGGAGGGGCCAAGCGCACCTGGGAAGAACACTGTGGTGAGGGTGTCCGGAGCCTGCAGGTGGTCAATGAGGATGCGCTGGAAGGCCTTGCTACAGGCTGACTGCTGGTGCCTGGGGAGGGTCGGGGGGTGCAGGGACAGACTGAAGCCAGGTGCCTGGACCAGGATCATGGAGCAAAGAGCTTCCTGCTCCCACCCCAGCCCTTTCTCATCCTGACTCCAAGCTTCAGTTTCCTCCTCTGAGAAACAGGGACAAGAGTGTATGGATTCACTAATAGAACACACTCAAGGTGCTTGGCATAGGGCACAGCACATACTGACAGCAGTGAACATTTGTTGGGTGCCTGCTGTGTACCTGCTACTGTGTTCAGTCAGCTCACTGAGCCCACAAGAGGAACAGGATCCCCTCAGCTGTGCAAAGGAGGGCATGGAAGCTCAGATTGGGTAACTCACCTGAAGTCACAGCCAGTGAGTGAGAGGGCAGGACTTGATCCCTGTCTGTCCGACCCAAGGCCCACACTCAATAAACAATGGCTGTTACAGCATCACGCATACCTTCTCCAGGAGGTCTCATCCCGCCAGAACTCGTACAGAGTGAAGGAGCCATTTTCCTGTGTCTTCTGTGCAGACACACTATGAGGCCAAAGAGGGGGCCAGGCCCAGAGCTGCCACCACCGCTACCCCGGAGGCCCAGACCCAGGGCCTCTTCCCACTTCCCCCTGCCCACCAGCCGCACCCGGCCACCAGCCATTGGGGACTCACTGAAGGCACTGGCTCTGTGCTCCTGTGAAGTCCACATAGCAGCACAGGGCACGATGGAAGTCCTGCAGGGCCGCTTCTGCCACCTGGACCTGCCGCTGGACCATGAGAATGTTCTGGCAAGAGAGGTAACTTGGGCTACTGGGGGCTGCAGGGGACAAGGGCACAGGGCAGGGGACTGCCAGTGTCTCCACCAGGACCCTACCCTCCTCAACCTGCACAATCTTCCCTAGGGTTAGACCCAAGGCCCCTCACCAACATCCCTGACTCCATCATCCTCGCCCCATCTCCAAGGTTACTGCCATGGTCCACTCCCTCTGCAATATGCCACCATCTATATCCACCCCTCCGTGTCTTCCAGCCACAAGGTCCCAGACCAGACTTTCCAAATACAGATGGGGAAACTGATGCCAGAGAGGAGCAATGGCCCCTGCAAGGCCGCAGAGAAAAGAACTGAAGTGCTGAGCGAGCCCAGCCTAGAGAACAAGAGGGAGACCCAGCCTGGAAGGCAAGCATGGACTTTGTGCGTCCTCTGGCCCCAGACACTGGCCTGCACCTCCAGGACTCACCGAGTCAGAGCCTTTGGCTAGCTTCTCTTCGTGCAGGGGCTCCAGCCGAGGGGCCTAGGAGGCACAAAGAACAAGAATTGCAGGACCCCTGGCCTGGGCACAGCACAGGAAGGTGCTCCCATTGGGCATGGACACACAGCCACTCACCTTGCACTCGAGCTGGTCGATGAGCTCCTGCAGACGGTTGACCTGGAGCCGCCACTGCGTCTCGGCCTCTGAGCTCCGCCCTGGGATAGGAGCCCACAGAAGGAGTCAGGCATGAAGCCTCAGGGTGGAAGGCCTCTCAGGATGAACTGGGGGAGGAACACAGAAGGGGCACTAGGAACAGAGGAGAGGCCCACCCAGATGCTCCTGAGCCAGGCCTCACCTGTGTCAGAGGAGCCAGACCAAGTGGGTGATCGGCTGATGCTCCTCAGGGCCTTCCGCCCTGCCCGGCGGCTGCCCCAAGGCCTGCTCTGCACCTCCACACTCTCTTCATCCAGCCTAGGGGAGGAGGGAGTCAATCTACTGTCCCCAGACCCATGAGGTGAAGAACTAGAGGCCCATGACAGGACCAGGGCCCAAAGCCAGACACCATCTGTCACTCCCTGTGGCCTTCCTGCCCAAGACACTGGGTTCTAAGACCCTGGAACTATGAAATATGGCTAAGACTGAGGGAACTTGGAATACAGAGAACTTGGGACAATGAACATTCACTTCTGGACCTTGGGGTTGGGGGGGCCCTTCACACACCTCGGGCCACGGGCCTGGGCCTCCAGGGTCTCAGATGCTCCCTCCAGAGAGTTCTGCAGGGCTTGTAACTGGCTCACTGTCTCCCGAAGCAAGAAGCGTGTCACAAACTGGTCCACCTTGGAGGCCTGCTCGTACTCCTGGGGGGGCAGAGGAAACATGGTCCATGTCACACCCCAGGGCGGCCTGGAGAGGGTTTGGACTCTGGGAGGAGGGGATGGGAGAGAAGGAGCGAGGAAAGATGGGACCCCTCCTTTTCTAAGCCTGACCCCTGCTACTGGGGGAACGCCCCAACCCTGTCCTCTCGCCCATCTTCAGGGACTGCCACAGCCTGAGAACTCCAGGCTAGAGCTCAGCTAGGCTTAGAAGGGGGTTGGGTCACACAGGATCCAAAGGCCAATTCTGATAGACAATACAAATGATAATGTGATCTGGCCTCATACACACTAGCAAGCCTCAGATTTACGTCTGTATGTTCACTCATTCATTCATTCACAAGACAAACAAGAGAGTACCTTGAGCCACCATCCTCGCACAGAAACACCAACCTACATGACCAGCCCCTCCCAAGGCAGGCAGCGGGGCAAGGAAACCCAGAAGTGCCACATCCATCTTGGATGTTTCAGAAACTCCCCAACTCTCCTTCTGCCTCAGTTTCCTCAATTGTAAAATGATGTTAATACCCATATCACTGAGCTGTTGAGAGAGTCCGGCAAGTTAATCCCTACAGAGGACTCAGCCCTGTGCCTGGCACACACATTGTGAGCTTTTTATTGTCAAACATAATACTAAAAAGAAACACACACACGGTCTGCCGTCCTAGGCTACATCTCTCTACAAAGGGTCCCAGAGGCACCATCCACCAGTGTCTTCATCACCTCACCTGCTGCCTGTGACTTGCCTCTGCTTCAGTCCTCAGATGGGCCCTCCGAGGCCCAGCTTGTAAGCAGGCACGCACAGAGGCTGCCCTCTCTTTCCCAGAAGAGCCAGAGGTTTCTGTTCCAGCTCCAGACTTTCTGGCTGTGCTCTGAGCTCTCTGAAATCCTTCCAATAAATTCCCCCTTTTTTGGCACTTATGATGACTGATCAGTTTCTGTTGCTTGCACTCAAAGAACCTACTTGACATACAGCCCCATTCTGTGTCAGGCACTGTTCCAAGTCTGTGATGGTTACGTGCCATTGGGTCTATGACAACTCACAGTAACCCTATGAACAATAAATCAGAACCCTACCCTGTTGTGTCATCCTCATCATCTCTGATATTTGCAAGCCCATTATTATAATCATTGTGCCAATCTATCTTGTTGAATGTCTTCCTCTCTCTCACTGACATTTCACCTTTCCCCACATGGTGTCTTCTTCCAAGGATTAGCCTTTCCTGGTAACACACCCACAGTATGTGAGATGAAGCTCCAACGTCCTTGCCTCTAAGGAGCACTCTGGTTGCACCTCCTTGAATACAGACGTGTTTGTTCTTTTTGGCAGTCTTCAATACTCCTCTCCAACAGCACAATTCAAAAGCATCACTTATGTCTTCTGTATTTATTTATTTATTTATTTATTGTCTAGCTTTCAGATACATTGGAAGCAAATAAAAAAAAAATCCATGGCTTGGATCAGGCACACCTTTGTCTTAAACTGACATCATTGCTCTTTGGCACTTTGGAAAGGTCCTTCACTACAGATTTTTTTCACAACAATGTGTCTTTTGACCTCTTAACTATTCCAGGTAGAAGCTCACTTATCCTTCATAACAACGTATTCAACTCATTGCTGTGGAGTCGGAACTGACTCATAGCTGACCCTCCACTGGATTTCCAAGAAGGTAATGGCACAGGCTAGGGTGCTCCTTAAGGCAAGGAAGTTTCGTGTTTCATACTTTGGATATGTAGCTAGGTTAGGCTATTTCTTGGAAAGGGACATCATGCTTGGAAAGATGAAAGGTCAGCGAACGAGAGGAAGACACTGTTACTTTAGCAACAGATTCTAATGTCTCAGAGATGGAGAGGATGGCACAGGACAGGTTTCAGGCTGCCTGTTCTTAGGGTCGCAATGAGTAGTTCTTGACTTGATTGCACCTAACAATAACAACAAATAGCACACGAGATTGCCCCTCTTTTCCCTTTGATGTTGTTGGTAGATTTGAACCACCAGAGCACGATCTTTGAGACATCAACACAACTCCCTACAGATTACCCCACTAGAGTGCCCTTACCAACTTATCAGAACTATCAAGAAAAAGCCAAATCCATTGCTGTCAAGTCTATTCTAACTCAGTGATCGCCAGGTTTCCAAGACTTTAAACTTTATCAGAGGAGACCTATCAAAAATTGCATCTTACTTAGATCCACAATTAACACCCTTGGTATCAGCAATGAGGAAATAAGGAGACACAGTGCATTGGGAAAGTCTGCAGTTAGGGATCTTTCCAAATTATTGAGGAGTAATAATATCAGTTTGAGGACTAAGGTGCATTTGATTCAGGCTGTGGTTTTTCTGATCATTTGTTACGCATCTGAGAGCTGGATAATGAATAGGAATGACAGAAGAACTGAAGCCTTTGAGCTGTGGTGTTGGAGAAGAGCACTGGACATCGCATGGATGATCAAAAGAACAAAAAAATGTATTGGAGAGGGAGCAGCCAGAGTGCTCTTTGAACCAGGATAATGAGGCTTTGCCTCACATACTTGGGGCATGTTGTTAGGAGGGGCTATCCCTTGGAAAGGGACATGATGCTTGGAAAGGTGGAAGGTCAATGAAGGAGAAGAAGATCCTTGACCAGGTGGAATGACACAGTGACTGCTGCAATGGGTTCTTGTGTGTCAAGAAATGTGAAGATGGCACAGGATAGGACAGGGTTCAGATCTGTTGTTCATAAGGTCACAATGAGTCGTACTTAACTCGACCTAACCACCACCTTTCTAATAGCAGGATGACATGATCAATACACAGTACACCACCCCAGTTCCAGCAGTGACCCTACTTTGCATATGAAGACACTGACAACTACAGACTACAAGCTTTTATCAGCCAAAGTCAGATAGTATGTGACCACACATAACCAGGACTCAAAGACTCATATTTCTACTCACTGCTAATAGGCATCACCTCATTTAAGAATCACTGTTGTTGTGTGCCATCGAGTCAGAACCGACTCAAGTTTTCAGAGGCAGTAAATTGGATGGGAGGAGACTGCCCATCTTTCTTTTTTTAATTTTATTTTTATTATGTATGTGTGTGTGTGTGTATACCATCAAATCAGATTTGACTGGTACAGGAGGAGATTTTTCCTCCTCCAGCAAAGGATCTGGTGGATTTGAACTGCTAATTTCTGGGATTGCAGTGCAGCTTCTTGCCACTAGGCCACCAGAGCTCGCTTGCCCATCCTTCTTTCATGGAGCAGCTGGTGGATCTGAACTGCATCCTTTTTTTTCATTTTTTTAATTATTATTATTTTTGTATGTGTACTGTCAAATAGGATCTGATTGGGACAGGAAGAGATTGTCCTTCCTTCTCCAGCAGAGCATTTGGTGGATTCAAACTGCTCACCTCTGGGATTGCAGTGCAGCTTCTTGCCACAGAGCTCTCCTGAATCGCATCCTTTTAAGGTTACAGCGCAGCTTCTTACTACTAGGCCCATAGAGCTCTCTTTATAATCACTAAGCCAGGAGCTCTGGTCGTCTAGTTGTACCTTAACACTGTAATTCCAAAGGCATGCAGTTCAAATCCACCAGCTGCTTTGTGGGAGAAGGGTAGGTGATCTCTCATTCAATTTATTGCCTCTGAAAACCTGCTGGAGGGTCAGCTATGAGTCAGTTCCAATTTGACAAAACACAGAAGGCCTGGAGAAGTCCCAGGCAGCAGATAGTTGAACTTCACCTGTGAATTCTGAAAGGCGGAGCTCAGAACTTGAAGCTAATAAGGTCAACCTATGAAGTCACAATGTGGCCTTACTGAGGCAAGGCAGAGCCTTGGCCAGAAGGCAGGGGACAGGTAGTGTAGGCAGGGGCCCACAGTGGTCACTGGTGCAGCCATGGGAAACAACTATTCTCACAAGGCAACCAAGGGGTCCAAGCGGGCCCACAAGGAGAAGCCAGGTGAGGTGGAGAAGCCACCAAATGTGGAGAAGCCACCTGGTGTGGACAAGGCCCAGCAGACGCAGCAGTTCCGCACCCACTCCAAGCAGAAGAAGTCTAGAGTAAGTGCCAGTGGGCGGAAGGAAGGAACGCTGGGGATGTAGGCTTCAGGGGCAGAAATCTTAAGGTTCTTTATCAAGTGAGCGTCCCAGGCAGGAGTCTTTACGAGAGTATGGATGGGGTCCCAGATGTTCAGAAGGGAAGGCAGGGATCTCAGGCACCAAGAGGGGGACAAGACTTGGGATCCCAGCACAGGGAGAATTCTCCCAGCCTAAGCTGGTACCATTAGGGTCCTCCTCTCCAAGCTATGTGACCCCTCTTCCGGGGGGCAAGTGGGTGAAAAATCCAGACTGGGAGGTAGGCAGGATCCTTCCAATAAACGTGGACGGAGAGGAGTCTTAGGAGGTAGATTTGGAGCGGACCAGGGTCTGGGGGTGCAGATTCCCTGTGTCAATATGGGGAGGCCGGGCTTTTCGACCAGGGTCTGGGGGTGCAGATTCCCTGTGTCAATATGGGGAGGCCGGGCTTTTCCACGGCCCGGAACAAAAAAGTGTGCCGTGGATCTCCGGCCCATGGAAAGAACCTGGGAGCAAAAACCCAAGTGAGGGTCAGGGTGAGTACTGGGTAGGCCACAAGCATATTCTTTCGCCTTCCTTTCTCCACCTACCTCCCCTAACACATCCTCATCTCCCCCAGACCAAGATCGTGCTGCTTTTCCCCCTGGGAAAGAGACATCCGTCCACCAGAGCGGCTGCAGGCTACCGCTCACGGGCCACGCGAGTAGGGGAAGGTGCGAACGGCCCTCTGGAAGGCATGCCGGGGTCATCGTCCACGATGCGAGGAGCAGGCGACAGCGCGGAGCGGCGCGACAACTGCGCGAGGAGCGACGCCCAGCGCGCGCTAGAGCTGAAGATAGTTTTCCTGCTGCTGCTGGACGCGCGGCCGCAGGAAGAAGAGCCCCGCGCGGCGGGCGGAGCCGGCGACGGAGCCGAGGGCGGGGCCCGCGCAGGAAACGGGCCCAGCGCAGGGAGCGGGGCCGGACCCTTCAAGGCCTCGCAGAGTTGGCAGCGGCTGTCCGACCACCTGTTGGCCAAGATCAAGGTCGAGTGTGAGGCCAGAGTGGAAGAGGAGCTTCTGCAGCAGCCACGCTGTCCGCGCCAGCATTCCTGAGCACCTGGCTGACTCCCAAGCCCCGAAAGCGGCCCAATAAAGTGTGCACAGCAACTCTGGCTCTTGTGAACTCTGTCTGAGGCATCAGGAGAGGGAAGAGAGGGGAAGACTGAGGGGAAGTACTGAAACCCAGCACGAAACCTGGATGAACTGGATCATTAGAGCTAAGACTACATTTTCCTTCTCCCTTGTGTATGGCCCTAGGGTGAGGAAACGCCCATGGAGGATGGAGGAAGTGGTTTCCTCTCCCCAGAAACAGGTCAGATCCTTCAAGGTCTTCAGGACTCACGATTTGGGTAAACCCAGTTCTGGCCATGCTAGGCGATGTGCTGCTTCCAGCAAATGGCTGGCCATTCCCAAGATTTTGGTGGAGGAAGTAAGGTGGTCAGCTGAACTGAAGGTGGACAGCACCAGAGGAGAGGCCCAGGGCCCTAGGCTCACACCCCTTCACCCTTAATCTAGTCTATTGGTAAGCTCCAGGAGTCTCAACACCTGTCCCTAAATCTACTGTGTTCTAGCCTCTCCTTCAACATAGCTAAAGATTCCTTCAAAACCACTTCCTCATTGCCCACTGACCCAAATCTACTCCTAGAATGTGAAGACTCAGTTTTCATCATAATTTCTAGTGACTGCCACCTTCACCCCCTGGTCTGCCTACATTGCCACTCGTGGTCTCTTGCACAAGGCTCATCTCTCTAAATCATAAGCTGCCTGGCCTGCTTTCTGCGGGCAGACTTCAGTGCTGCCCCAGCCCTGCCACATCAGCAGCCTTCTTTCCCATACGTTGGCCACCAGCCTCAGGATGACAGCATCTTTGGTAGCAAATGAAACAGGAAAAGGTCCTAACCTACTGCAGCGAGGAGATCAGCTTCTACTGAAAAAAGCCTTTCATCATTCAACGTTAACATCTCCTCCAGATAAGCTACACCAGGCTGGAGACTGTCAGTCAGCACCTCCTCTACTTTTTGTGAGAACTGACTCTCAAGGCAACCATGATGTTCACTGTGGCCATGCCTCCTAGCTTTATGTGGCTGACCTAAGCCTGTTCAATCAGCCCCTTATCTGGGATTGTAATTCAAAAGTTGTAAGAGGGCATGAATATCCACAAACTCAAACTAATCTCTAGAAGAAAAAGACAGAGCATATCCTGGGTTCCCTATAGTGCTGTGGTCAATTCCTGAGATCTGACTTCACCTTTACCCTAGGTATCCATACAATGTACAAACCTCACTGCCACCCAGTCAGCTCTGACTCCTTCAGTAATCCTCTATCCAAGGCTGTAGAGCTTTCTGGGAGACTGCTGCTTTATCTCCCAAGGAGTGGCTGGTGGGCTTGCACTACCAACCTTCTGGTTAGCAACCCAACATTGCCACTACCCTACTACTCCTTTATAAAATGTGATCAGATGCCAATGAATTGACTATGACCTATAATGGCCCTTCCTATACATGACAGACTGAAACCTTGCCCTATCCTGAGCATCCTCACCATCTCAGCCATGCTTAACCCCACTGTTGCCACCACTGTGTCAATGCTTCCCCTTTGGAGTTCCTTTTTACTGACCCTCTACTTTCCCCAGTACGATATTCTTTTCTAATTACTGAGACATATTGACAATAGGCTCGGGATTGCACAGTGAGTGAGCTGCAAACTCAGATCCCACATGTGAAGTTATAAAGTTTTAAGTAGATTGCTTGGCCCTTGCAAACCGAGTAAACAGAGCTGAGAGTGGTGTTAGAGCTATAATCAAAAGGTTTCGCTTCAATATTGAGAAGAGACAAGTCATATATATCCGGCCAGAGCACATAGGATGACTAAAAATGTACTGAAGAAGGAATGAAATTGGATTTGATGAACAGCTGAATGCTACCATCACTACCTTTGACCTGAGATAAGAGGGAAGATGGATCCAGGGAACTCTCATGAGGGAGGGGCCTGCGGAAACAGAACCAGGGCTGAGGTCACAATGAATCCAATATAAATTCTTCCTTCTCTGTTCTTCCCACCGCCAACCAAGACGCCAAACCCAAGTGAAAGGCGTCAAGACGTCATTTGGAGGTTCAGGTTTGACGAGACTCCTGGGTCCCCCAAAGAGGGATGCACAGGCATAAGACAGTGCCACATATCTGTAGGGGGTCTGTCTGTCCTCTCACCAGGCACTTCAGCAGAAGCTGAGCGGGCAGCAGCAAGACCTGAAAGAGGGGACAGATATACAGCAGGTACCTTGAAAGGCGGGCCTTGAACCTTGGGGCGGAGTCACAGAGGCTGAAAAAGGCCCTAGGACGAGATAGAAGTAAGAAGAGGGGGAGTCTCAAGATCAAAAGACAGAGTCCAGGACTTGGGCCCATTAGGCAGAGCCACAAATTAACGAGGTGGAACCTTGTGCTGAGCCAGCAGAGGTAGTCTCAGGAAAAGCAGGGGCCTAAGGGGCGTGGTTTCACACCAGGGGGCGTGGTCTAAACCTGCCCTGAGGGCGGGGCCTCTCCCTTGCGAAGCTGCATCCGCCACGAGGCGGAGCCGCTCAACAAGGTGGCGTCTGCGGCCCGCAGCCGCTGCTCGCGCGGCCGGACCCCGCTAGGCCGCATCGCGGTGGTGGTGGACCAGGGCTCCGGCTTCACCAAGGTGGGCTTCGCGGGCGAGCACCAGCCCCGCCTGATGCTGAAGAGCTCCAGCCTGGTGCCCAGCTGGGACCGGCCGGTGCTGCCCGGCGCGCCCGGCTGCGAGCTGGCGGGGGGCGTGGCACGGGCTCACCCCATCAAGCACGGCGTGGTGGTCGACTGGGAGGCGCTGGAGGGCCTGTGGGAGCGCCTGCTTGTGGGCGCCCTCCATGTGTGCCCAAAACAGTGGCCCGTGCTGGTGAGCGACTCGCCATCAGCGCCGCCCGAGGGTCGCGAGAAGGTGGCCGAATTGCTGTTCGAAACCCTTGAGGTGCCTGCCTGCCACATGGCCTCCACCGCACTGTTAGCGCTTTGCTCTACCGGCGCGCTCAGCGGGCTGGCCGTGGAGGCCGGCGCGGGCGTGTGCCACGCCACCCCCGTCTACGCGGGCCACTCCTGGCAGGAAGCCACCTACCGACTGGAAGTGGCTGGCACTGCTCTGTCTCGCTACTTGCGGGACCTGATAGTCGCGGCGTGTCCGGACCTCGGGCTGCAGACCCTGCCTCGCAAGACCATCACGCAGCTCAAGAAGCGCTACTGCTATGTGTCCCTGGACTTTAATGGTGACCTCTGTAACCCTGCCCGCCACCAGCCAGTCAGCTGCTTCTTAAGCAACGGCTGCTCCATCAACCTCAGCAGGGAACGCTTCCTCTGCCCTGAGCCTATCTTCCAGCCAAGTCTGCTGGGCCACAATGAGCCAGGGCTGCCCGCACTAGCCTTCCGGGCACTGCAGAAGATGCCCACAGCACTGCGAAAACGGCTGGCCAACACCGTGGTACTGGCCGGTGGCTCCACACTTTTCCCTGGCTTCATTGAACGCCTAGACATGGAACTGGAGGCTCAGTGCCGGCGGCATGGCTATGGAGCATTGAAGCCACAGCTAGTGGCCAAGCCAGGGCGTGGCACAGCCGTGTGGACAGGTGGCTCCATGGTGGCCTCACTGAACTCCTTCCGGTGCCACTGGATGACCCGGGCCATGTACCAGGAGTGTGGGGCCAAGCTTGTGCACAAAGTGTTCAACTGAGTCACACTGGACTTAAGGGGGCAGAGCTCTGAGAAAGCACTGCAGGGCAGTCAGTGCCAGATAAAGAATCTTATTAAGAGTTTGGAGCTGGCAGTCATGGTGTGGTGATGGAGTACCTCAGCTCCTCTCGGGTTCAGGGGGAGGCAGGCAGGGTTTCTCTACATCAATCTTCAGTTTGAATGCTCCCTAACTAGTGCCACTTTAGAGAACACCAGTCCAGCCACCTACTTCCAGGGCCCTGTTTCTATGACAACAATTAAGGCAGTGCCCACACTCGTGTCCAGACCACAGATATGGATTCTGGCCTTGCATCACACACATCTTCTCATCCTGTACCCTTTGGAAAGCCACACCAGGCCCCAAGGGGGGGGGGGTGACCCTTTTGAAAAGTGACTACATCTCAGTGTAAGCAATCACAAGGTGGAAGCCCTGCCCCCAGCTTTGTACTCAGGTGACTGCCCATTCTTTGTGGGGTTTCAGTTTACCACTCTAAAATGTGGAGTCAGGCTGCTCCCTGATACCTCTCATGAGAGATCAGAGGTAGAGGGAAGTAGAGACTTTTCTTAAAAGGAACATGCGGAGGGAGGGGCAGCTCCTGGTTCAGTGAAGTAGCCACCCGAGGGTCTGAAGCCCTATTTATGTTTGTCACATGCATGTCCACAAACATGTGAGTACACATGTGCTTGCCTATTCACGTGTGTCCTCAGGCAAACCCCCTCCCACTAGACTCAGCATGGGCGTGTGGATTTGTGTGAGCAGGATACCCCATCCCACTTCTGGGTACAAAATTGACACTCCACAAAAATATGGCCAGGAATAAAAACAGCAGCAGTAAAAAAAACAAACAAACAAAAAAAAAACACAAACCAACAACAACAAAAAAACAGCAGCAGTAACTCCAGATATTAAAGTGCCTCCTATATATATGCCCAGCACTGCTCTGTGTGCTGGGAGTAGAGCAAAGGATAAAGCAGACAAAATACCCTGCCTTCATTCTCATTTAAATGTCACAAGTATCTGGTGGCCTAGTAGCAAGAGGCTGCACTGCAATCCCAAAGGCACAGGGTGCGAATTCACCAGTTGCTCCATGGGAGAATGATGGGCAATCTCCTCCTGTGCAATAAATTGCCTCTGAAAACCCACCAGAGGTCAGCTATGGGTCAGTTCCAACTCAACAGTACATCACACACACACACACACACACACAAACACAGACAGACACGCACACACACACATGGTTTTATTACTATCCCCAGTTTACAGATGAAGAACTTGAGGCCTAAAGAGGTAAAGTTGTACAGCCAAGGAGGCAGGATTTGAATTTAAGCCTCCAGCTCCACAGTCCTGTGCCACAAAAGTAGAAGCTCCCAAAGCATGGCAGACAGCCCTGACCTCTCTCAGGGGTTCCCACCATCCACTTACCATTTTGGTAGTGTCCATAGCAGTGAGCACTGCTCGGTTCAATGACTCTAATGCGGCCAGCACAGGCCGGTAGACCCCCAGGTGTTCTGAGAAGTAGTCTGTGGGCAAAGGAGATTCTCATGGGTTCCTTGGTTCCACCTCCCACCTATCCACCTATCCATCCCAGAAGCACTGATTATGGCTACCTGAAGTCCTGGTTCAGCCTGTACTCAGCAGGCAACCAGTCCCATCTCCTGAGCACACACTGTCCCATCAGGAGACCTAGCCACATGCCCCACTGCACACCCAAGGGCCAGGAGACAAGAGCTGCTGCAGGCCTACTCACCACACAGTTTCTCTGTTTCCAAGTTGCTGTAAAGAAAAGAAAAAGTGCCCTTCAGACTCAGACTTGGGCCTGGTGAGTTGGGCTTAGAGGCTAACAAGTCCACCTCCCTCCACCCAACAAGGAGGTGACTCTGCTTGCATTCCAGGTAAAACTGCTCAGTGCACAGGAGGCCTCAGGACCAAGAGGTTGAGGAATAGCCCCATCAAACTTTCTCTAAGACTCAGACTTACTTCCAGCCCCCAGGGAAACCCCAGACAAAAGAAAGAAGAGTAGTCCGAGCTTTGAAGGAGATACCAAGTCTAGGCAAATCCTGGGGAGTCAGGGGGTATTAATATGTAAGTTAGGAAGGACTTCCTAGAGAAGGTACCCAAAAGAAGTCTTGAAGGATGACAAATATGACTTGAGTTTCTGGCTGAGGTGGGCTGAGTACTGTAGACAAAAGCCCCAGCCCAAGTTTCTGAAAAGAAGAGGGTACAGGAACTTAAACAATGGCCTAGAGAGCCTAGAATTTCTCCCACGTGGGTGGAGAAGGGGGAGGGGAAGCTGTCGGCCTATGCACCCTTCATGAAGAAATGGGTGGGCGCGTGCACGCTCCTGCTGCCGCACGTAGATGTGGAATCACCAGTGGGGAGTGTGTGTTCCCGCACCTGCATCTATGGGTGGAAGCAGACGGGGCCCCAGCTGTCCCCAGGCACCCTCTGGTCCCTGCGTGAAGCGGGAAAGGGGGGTGCCTGGGACTCAGCCATGGGTGGTGACTCAGGCCTAGCTATTTTGGGGTCCCAGCTGGAAGCAGTGTGGTGGGCAAGGCTGGAGCCAGGGAGGGGATGGGTGGGCGAGGAAATCTGGCACTGAGCCCCAGTACCGTCTCCGTGCCCCCACCAACCCACTCCTGTCCTTGATAAGGAACCAAGACGACAGGGGACACAGTGGGACTCAGACCACCTGCCTCACATCCACCAGCAGCTCCCGTCCCCCCTCACACTCACTCAGTTGGATTCCCATCGATGCCGCTGAACAGTTCCTGCAGCTCCTCTGTGCTGAGAACTCCATCAGCAAAGTAATTCTGGAATTCCTCAAAGGACAGTTTACCATCATCTGGGGTGGGAGGGAGGTGCAGAGCTGAGTCACTACCCCGGTCCTTGTCTGCACCCCTGCCACCAGAGCCAGGCCCTCCAAAGGCTTTGTGACATCTCATAATGACCCAACTAGCGGGGATGTGATTCTGATCTCTCCAGGTATCTTGTTATTGGGGACAAAAAGAAGGCAGCAGGGCCCACCTGGTATTAGGTAGAAACTCAATAAATTTGTCACAGTAAAAATGAATGAACACCTGGGACATGGTCAGAGTAGGCAGGGTTTGATATGTCTTGGAGAAAATGCAAGCAGAGAAGCTTTGGAAGCAAAGATGGGGACGCTTTGTCTTACATACTTTGGACATGTTAGGAGGGACATGATGCTTAGAAAATGTGAGGGCTGGCAAAAGGGAGGAAGACCCTCAACCAGATACACTGACACAGTGACTGCAGCAATGAATGGACTCAAGTATTTCAAAAATTAGGAGAATGGCACAGAACAGGACCAAGTTCTTATCTGTTGTTCACAGAGACAACAACATGAGGACTTGGGGGTGAGTCACTGGCCCATATACTGGCCAGTCGCACTTCAGGGAGGCTGTAGACTGTCACAGGGAAGCACATGAGATCTTCCTAATCACGGAGTCTCTGTAAGAAACAGCAGGCTGGCTCAAGAGGTAGTGAGCTCCCCATCACATGTGAGCAGAAGCTGAACAACTTGAGTGGCATTAGGGATTGAACTGTGTTATTTAAAAATAGGTGTTGTCAATCATAACTCCTTTTGCCATGGGTTATATAGGTATATGTCCACTAATGCCCACCATGTATTCAGAGAAATAGAACGTTATGTGATTTGGCCATTGTGTGAACACCATATTAAAACTTTATGAAAGCCTGCAGGAGTCTGGGATGCTGCTGAAGCTGCTGAGGAGCTGGTGGGAGGCAGGCTGGAGGACAGTAATAGTGGCAGCAATAAGAGCAGCAAGGAGTAGCAATGGCTGAGAAGGTGGAGGCGGGAGCAGAGAGAGAGAAAGAAAGCAATCCGGGAGGGAGCAGACTGTGCTCAGCCCCACCACCTTCACCGCCTGCCCACAGGACAAAATCAGAAAGCCTGCACTCAGAACCAGGTCCTCTGCCCCTCTGCCTATATTCTACCCATGCTTCCATGCTGCGAGGTCTGCAAAAACCAGCACAGTTACCATTAAGTGTAGATTCCAACTCATATGGACCTTATCAGACAAAGCAGAACTCAGGTTTCAAAGAAGAGGGTGAAACCAGGCTGTTCCTTGGAGGCAAGGATTCTGAAGCTCTGTCTGACAGGGACATCATGCTTGGGCGGGTTGAGGGACAGAGAAAGAGAGGAAGACCCTGGACTAACTTAGTGACTGGGGTAGTGGGGTGGGTGTGTTGGAGAGATGAGGTTACCACAGGATAGAGTAAGGTTCAAAGCTGTTATACATATGGTCGCTATGAGTCAACAGCACTTAACAATCTTTCACAGAGGCATATCACTACATCCCTCTCCTATTTAAAAACATCAAACGCAAAAAACTCATTGCTGTCAAGTCACAAACTGGCTCAGAGCTGACCCTCCAGCAGGTTTCTACCAGAGGAGACGGCCCATCTCTCTCTCCCAAAGAGCTACTAGCAGATCTAAACTGAGCTGCCTTACAGATGCTGCCACCAGAGGTCCCTCTTAAAGCATCAGGGGGTAAAAATAAACTTTCCCCTTAAAAACAAAAAACAAAACCTAATGAGACCAAATTGATATGCAGTCAGTTTGCCCAGAGTGACTTTAAACTACGCATATTTGTAATCTCATTTGGGAATGAGTTGTCTTTGTTGTGTTAATAAGGCAGGCTGATGTAGTGTGTGTGTGTCAGTTGCTTTTGATACATAAAGAGATTTAAACAAGCAAGCAAGCAGAAACGAGGGAAGATTGAGGCCAAGCCACATGAAGCTCTCTAAGGGATTGGGAGACAAGCTGAAGAGACAAGGACCTTCCTCCAGCTCCCCTAGGTGCTAAATTAAGATTTCAAGCCTCATCAGAGATGAGAGGATTGCACAGGATAGGGCAAGGTTATTTGTAGGGTCCCTGAGTCATAGTTGAGCTGAGGGCATCTAACAATAGCTTCCTAAACTCTTAAAAAAATTAACTTGTTTGTTAAAAGCCACCCATTTAGGGGAGCTCTGGTGGCCTAGTGGCAAGAAACTGCACTGCAATCCCACAGGAACACGGTTCGAATCCACCAGACACTCTGCCTGAGAAGGAGGCGCAATATCCTCCTGTACCAGTCAGATCTGATTTGACGGTACACGCACACAAAATAAAAAAATAAAAAAAAGCCACCCATTGGTATTTCTTTTCCAGAAGCACCAGACAACTAAGACCAGAGGGCTAGTCAAAGATCCAGAAAAATTTACCTGAAGGATGTCGCTAAGCAGATGAAGACAGGCAGAGCTGGGTTGGGAGGAAGGGTCTGAGCATAACCAGAGAGACAAGGACCTTCCTCCAGAACCCCAAGAGTTGGCAGCCTGAATTAAGACTGGCACTTTGATCTAAATGAGATCATGAGAGATGGTACAGATACAGTTTCCTCCGACCTGAAGACACTCCAGGAGAACGAACAAAGAGTATATGACAGGATCTTGTCTCAGGGAGGCTGGAAACCAAAAGAGTGTGAAGACCCCAGATGGAGGGAGCTCAAAGCTGACTCAGGACAGGGTCTCAAATGGCCAGCAGAACTCAGTGTGTGGCTCTCAGTTATCACTAGGCAGAAACCAGATGCTTGTCTCCCTCAGAGCTCCTACATTAGCTTCCAAAACTTTCCCAGACCAGCGTGTGAGGACCTAGGAAATGAGGTACTGACTCCCCAACACTTGGCTATAGGCTACAGTGCTTAATTGTTTTATCCAAGCCTTCCCTCAGTTCAGATAGTGGGTTCATAAAGAGTTACCAAGAAAATGTACAACAATGAATGAATGGAAATCCAAGTTCTCTTTAAACTTTTTTGCATGTTTTGTAACTTTCTTTTTTTTTTCTTTTCTTGTTGTGTACCATCGAATTGGATCCGACTAGCACAGAAAGAGACTGCCCCTCTTTCTCCAGCTAAGCATCTGGTGAATTAGAACAGTGTGCCTTGAGGATTGCAGTGCAGCTTCTTTGCCACTAGGCCACCAGAGCTCCCTTTTTCTACAAACTTTCATTAAAATCTCAATTAAAAATAAAATAAAAAATAAATAGATAGATAGATAGTTACTAAGTTTTCTGCAAAAATCTAAGAGTAAAATTCCCCTTAGGGCTTTTCTCTTATCACCCCATTCTCCCAAGCCCTTCACACAGGCATCTGGCTCACACAGGTCTTGGGTTTAAAGGCTGTGTGACCTCAGACTACTGTTTACCCCTCTGAGGACAACTCGTGCTCATGAATATGTAGAATATCACTGCCCAGGGCACTACAAGAAGCCTCCCCATTTTCAAACACTGGTCAAACCATTTTCCTCCCAGCTTCATCCAGCCAAACTTAGCTCAACACACTTCTTGTGGGAATGATGTCTTGATTGATTCTCCTGATTTGGGTCTACCTAAGATTTGGGAAGATCTAGTCTAGTTGGTGCCTCCTAATCCCCCAACCTTACTCCCTGAAGTCCCACATTACTCACCATTCTTGTCTGCTCTTCGGAAAACCTGGGGGGGGGGTGAATAAAAAGGTATGGGTGGAGCCAGGGTGACAAGAAGCCACAGCCAACCCAACAGGGCCACAGCTGCCCCCCCCCCTTTGCCAGTCCTCCAGTTCAGCTTGGTTCCAACCCCCTACGGCTCGGCTCAGCGCTACAGGAGTTTTTCCAGCAGGGAGAAGCAGAGGAAGAGAACACAGCAGGTCCCACTGCTGGATCACTTCTTCAGAGCCTGGCCTTGTAGGGGGTGCTCTGGGCCAGCTCCCTGCACCCCAACTCCTACACTCAGAGTCAGCCAGCATTCTGATGCAGCAGCCCCTGGCAAGATTCCAGCCTGAAGAAAGTGGAGGAGATGGGCCAAGATGCAGCTTAAGGATCCCCAGCACCAGTCTTAGACCTGAACCCTAAACTCTGTTTGTGATCTAGGTGGACCGTGGACCCAGCCCTCTCTGGTTGTTTGCCCTGGATGCTTGGTAGAGATCCTGGCTGGCAGGGCAGTGACTAGTCCTTTCTTGCTGGTTCCTAAGGTTTCCCATTAGCAAGATTAGGAAGCAGCCTGGGGTTAACCCTTCCAGGGCTAGGCCAACTCAGTGGGAGGGTCTTGGGCTGGTGCCTAGGTTTGAGGGGGTATGAGGGCAGCGAAATGCAGGGGTGGACAAACTGCATTTTTAGAGAAGCAAAGAAGAAGGGCAATAGAGGCTGAGACCAAGCAGGGAGAGAGTAAAAATAAACCTGCCTCTTCCAGGAATCAGAGACTCTAAGCAGCCCAGACAAGGAGTTGACCAGCAGGCCACAAGGAGGGCCAGGCCAGAGTGTGGATAGAGAACTTTCCTTGGGCTTCCAGTCCCAAATACCACCATCATTCAGCCACTTTCCTAGGGCCAGCAGGACTCTGGGAGGACGCTAACTCCCAGCAAATGTCTGGTGCAGGAGAGCTATCTGCTGGCTCAGGGTCACATATACAGTGGCCCGCTGTGGCCTGGCTGGGGTAGATGAAGGGACTGGGGAAAAAAGGGTGCAAAGCTGGGGGTGAGGCCACTAAGGTTCACACCCAGTATACCGCTGCCTCCTAACCCCTCAAGCCTTGATTTGCACATCTGAGAAGTGGGAAGGTCAGGTTCTTTTCAGCCAGGAGGACTGTGGTCAGGTTGCTGAGTCACTGGGGGCAGTGGGGAGGGGGCAGGAACCTCTAAGAACGGGAGAATGAGGGAGTCTGGAGGGTACTTAGGGTGAACAAAGTGAGGTGAAGGGCAGGAAGGGAGTCAGGGCATAGACTCAGGCCCCACCACACTGCCCTGGGGTTCTTCGGGGTTACTGCCCACCCCATTATTTGTGAGATGGTCACTTTACAGAGGATGGCTGTGGTCAGCTTTGACTAACTGTGGGACCCACGGTATCTTTGGAGGTTTGAGGTGACTAAGTACGAGATAAGAGACAAGGAGACTCTTCTGCCTCCAGTCCCCCTATCCTATTGCAGCCCAGATTAGGGCTGTCACAGTGCCCCGTCCACCCCAAAACTCCTGTAATCAAATGTTGACAGCACCCACCCCCACTGGCCACGCAGATGAGGTGGAGTAGTGGTTTGGAGCATCAGAGAAAACGGTCAGTTGACAGGAGACAGGGCAAGGAATAGAGAGCAGCAGACACAAAGGAAACGAGATAGGGATACTGGCGACACATGGAAATAGACACTGCCAGGTCAGAGAGCCAAAGACCCAGAGAGAGACCGGGAGAACGTGAGACAGACAGGGACAGGGACTGGGGGGGGGGGGGGGGAATTACAGTGAGAGGCACAAACGGGGACAAGAAGAGACAGTGATGACAGAAAGCCCCAGTGAGACACCGGGGGAGAGCCAGAGACCTGGTGAAGAGAGACAGGTACAGCCCCGTGCCCGCGCCCCACTCACGTCCTGAAACAGCGCGTGTCCGGCGGGCGCGGGAGCAGGGGGCTTCGGGCGCTCGGGAGCGGGGGACCGGAGCAGGCACACGGTGAGCAGCCCCGCGCACGCCATGGCGACGCCACCCGATGCGCTCAGCTTCGCTGCGGCTCCAGGGCTCCAGGCTCTGGACGCGGCGTGGACCTGGGGGGGGGGGGGACCGCCCATCGGCGCCGGCGCGGGCGCCGCAGGCCCCGCCCCTGAGACTCCGCCGACCTCCCCCGACCCGGCTCCCCACCCCGTTGGGCTAGTGCCTGAGGGTATCCCCTCGATCTTGACATCACTGTCAGGAGAATGAGTACAAAGCCCAGCCTTTGTGTGAGTCAGAGCTGCACAATTTCCAACTCCAACACCTTCTATCTTCGCCCTCCAGCCACTTGAACCTCCTGCGGCAGGTGGCCTCGAACTTGGGCTGCCCACTGGTCAGCTTGGGAGTACTCCACAGCCAGGAGTACTGCTCACCCAGGCGGCAGGTTCCTAGGCCGTTACAGGGCAACCTGGCACAATACAGTGCCGCCTTTTGAGTTATACCCACACGTGGTCGGAATCCTCGGCTACAGAAACAGCATCCACCTTATGGGATGTAGTATTATTTGCAGCCCAATGTGTACAGAGAACTGCTCCAGTGCGCTTTTGAGAGAGGATTGCCAGTCCTTTTTCCCCTAGTTGAGTGCTTAACCTTTGCGTCACCCAGGGTCTGCTGCACTGCGTGTGGAGCTTAAATTAAGAATTTAAAAAGAGAAAGGTCCCTTCTCCCAGGTCTATTGAATCTGACTCCCTCTCTTGTCCGTTTAGACCTCCTCCAGTCCACCTTCCACGCAGGAGGCAGAAAGCATGTTTGACACATAGCACACTATTACCATCTGGGGCTCACCAAGAAAGACTCCTTGTGCGCCGTATGAAGCCCAAACTCACTTCGCAGCCTCACTAGCTTCTCACAGGTCCCTCAGCGCCTTAGTATTACTTTTGCTGGTGTCTTTCTGCTTTCTTTTGTTAAATGGGATTTTTTCAAAATTATCTTAACAAGTTTCCAGGAAAGTTGGATTTTCATCCATTATTGCATTTTCCTCCCTCAGTTCACATTTTTTAAAAGTCATTGTTGCATAATTTCCTCCCTTCCCTCTCCCAGTTAACTTTGCTATGCACTTTATTCTGCACTGTTGTCATACAAATAGTGCCTAATCATATAATCCTTTATAAAACCCCCATGTGTTCCAATGCAGTATTATTTATCCTTAGTTTCCTCCAATCCCAATACTGTTTTAGAACAGTGGTGGTCTTCATTATTTGTCCTTTTGTGACTGAAAGTTTACTCAGAATCATGTCCTGCAGGGTCACCCATGTTGTCTATTTTATTCCTTTACAGTGCTGTGTAGTATTCCATTGTGTGACTACCATAGTTTTTCTATCCATTCATCTGTTGACAGGCGCTTGGGTTGCTTCCATCTCTTTGCTACTGAATGCAATACACATGGGTGTGCATTTATCTGGTTGGAAGTGCTGGTTACTGTTTGCTGCTCCATTGAACTTTGCTATCGTTATTTGCATCTGGGAGCTAGGGATTTTGAAAATTTCATGTGGTTGTTTGCCATCTGAATGTCTTCTTTGGTGGTCTATGCATATCCTGCGCCTAGGGTTACCTTTTTCTTGTTGAGGTGCTTGCTGGAGCATTCTATAAATTTTAGAGTCCCTTAGCAGATACCATTACCATATATTTTCCCATGTATGTCTTCCTTTCTTACCCTGAGGGAGAAGTTTTTGATGTGCCTAGGGATTTGATTCTTAGAAGGTCCCATGCATCTATTTTGTTCTCTCCTGGTTGTAGGCAACTTTTTTCCCTTATCCTATAGACTCTGGCTTAAGTAGGGCTTCTGCCAGGGAACCCTCCCTAGTTTTCTCTTAAGTAGCCCTGTGAAGGAAGGAAGCATGCATGAGAGCTGGAAAGTCCCTGACAGAATGAGCCCATTATAAATATTTGCTGCACATTCACAAATGTCTGGGAGGAACATGGCAAATAGATCAGAGTGGCTCTCGGGGACTGGAGGAAGGGAGGGAGTTCTTGACTCTCTGCGCTTCTGAAGCATCCATGACTTTCTATAACTGGATTGCTTTTTAAGTTAGCACAATGACAATGATGAAATGAAATCAAATCAAGCAAGGAAAGGGAGCAAGGGAGAGGAGGGCATTTTCCAGGCAGCCTTGACATCTCCCATCTCAATATGTTCCCAATACACAGCCACAAAAATCCAACCCAAACACCATCAAAATATTTATTAAAACCAAAGCAGGAGGGAACAGAGCTGTTAAGAAGGCAAACAAAAGTGCAGATTGGGGGCAGGGCACAGCAAGAAGTGGAAAGAGGCGCTTAAATTGCCACAGAAGGGGGTCCCATACAGTGGTCTGGGCTGAGGGAGGTCCTCCACTCACCCCTTCTGCCCACTCTGTCAGTGAATGTCCCCCCCACTCACCTTTCCTATCTCACGTCCATCCTGGGGGGCTGCCGGGCCCTGCAGTGGCCCCCCGGCGGAGGAGCCACCCCACCATCCACTCATGGCTGTCAGTCAGTCAGTCTGTCTCCCTCCCTCACTTACCCAATAAATAAATCGCTCAGGCCTCAGCTCCTTCCAGGTGGGGCAAGAGAACAGCTCAAGGACCCCTGTCCTTGCTCAGGGGCATGGAGAATTTGAGGTGCTGGCCCCACTTTCTCCAACCCTTTGCTGGCACCCCAGCCTTGCTAAAGAGGCCTTGATAAATAAATAATGCTCCATTAAAGCTTCGAGTCAGAAAAACCTTTAAGACGACAGAAGTGCTCTTGCTGTCCTGCAAACCAACCGGCAAGGTCTCCTGCCTGGCCTGGTGAACACGCAGGCTTCTGGGGGCAGGCGGACCCCCTGGGCCTCAAGGGGCCCTGGAGCAAGGAGACCAAAAGTGCAGTTAGAGCCCCTATCATGCGCACACACAAACCCAGGCACGCACCAACACGTTCACCTTCATTCCCCGGTACACACACACACACACGCTCTCACATAAATGTGCTTCCCTGGCATTTCTGCCAAAGGTGCACACCACTCTCACCTGCGTACACACCTGCTGGATGTTAGGTGCATGTATGTACATAACACAAACACAGGGTCCTTCCCCACTCCTGGCTTGCAGTTACCAGGCTCCAAAGCCAGAAGCTTCTGGAGGTAGGGGAAACAAACAAAAACCCAAGCCCTCGGCCACTGAGTCGATTTTGAGTCACTGTGACCCTGTGGGACAGAATAGAACAGTCCCATGGGGTTTCCAAGGCCATACACTTTTATGGAAGCAGATGGCCACATCTTTCTCCCACGGTACATCTGGTGGGTTTAAACAAGCGCTTTAACCACCATGCCACCAGGGCTAGGGGGCAGTGATATAAATTAAATGTTTCCAATCAGGCTGGGAGGATGGCCAGAGGCAGGGGGTTCCAGGGCTGCAGAGCAAGAGTGAGCATCTTAGGAGGTCCTGGCCACCCTCCGGGCCTCGTCAGAAATCCAGGGGGGTGAGATCTCCAAAGTCACAGTCAAAGAGGTCTCTGATACCCTCTTCCTCAAGGCCAAACTGGTACTCGAGAACTTCGTTGGGAGGGGACAGGGTGATGAACTCCTCAGGGAGGAGGCTGGAGAAGTCCTCCCGCACTTGCTCTAGGAGTGAGTCTGCTGCCATCAGCGGGGACAGGCGGTACTCATTCATAGGGGTCCGGAGGCCACCCATTCGGGACAGCAGCGGTTCTAGGAACATGGGGAGCATCACAGGCCAGGGATGCCCCTAAAAGGAGGCAGAGGAAGCTATCATGCCTGCCCACCGTCCACCCAAAGGGAGCCCTTTACCCACCTTGCTCCAGGGTAAGGAGGGACTGGCTAGGATCTGGGATAGGGAATGAGGGAGGAGGTGACGGAGGAGGTGATGGAGGTGATGACGGAGGAGATGTCGGAGTAAGTGATGGAGTTGGCACTGTGGTAGCAGGGACAGCCACCCCGTCCTCCTCTCCAGGAGAAGCCACTGCCTGGGGTGGGGTTTCTTCTGGGCTGATCTCATCAGAGCTTTCCTCAGGGCACAGGAAAACGTCAATGGGGCCTTGTTTGCTCTTCAAGTAGACCTGAAAGTTCTGGTGGAAGGGAGCAGGCCAGATAAACTGAGGATCAGTGGACCAACAGCCCAGCTCAGCCTGTTCCCGTCAGACCTGGAGTATACTGGTCTCACCTCTGAGGAGTCTAGAGCCTGGAGCTGGGTCTCAGGAGGGGCCTTGATCACCATGACCATCTGCTCTGCAGGGTCTGCAATGCTGCGTAGGTCCTGGCAGGTCACGTAGGCCAGGGTTGGTGGAGTCAAGGGTTCTAACGTTTGACCTCTGGGGCCACCCATCCATACAGCTAACAATGTAAAGCTGACATTTGTCAAGTCACCGGTTTTCACCCCTCTAACTGACACACAGTTAATACGCAAAGCCCACCTTATACCCGTGAGTCTCAATTTCCACATCTATTTATCAGGCCCATTCTACCCATCTAATCAGAAGATGCAAGCAAAAATTGCCTGCAGAAATTTCACGATAACTGTAAGCATCTCCGGGTCTGTACGAGAAATTTCTTTTGACCTATGAACTTAATATCACTCGCTCACTCACTCACTCATTCATTCAATGCCATCAAGTTGGAACTCACTCATAGCTGACCTTCCAGTAGGTTTCCAGAGGCTGCAAATAAATAACGGGGGAGGAAAATGTCCATCATTCTTCTTCAGAGCAGCTAGAGGATTCGAACAGCCCTCTTTTGGGTTGGCAGTTCAATTCTCTACTCACAGGCCACCAGACCTCCCTTAACGTCAATAGTCACAGTTAAAACTTAAAAACATACGAGTATTAAAAAAACCCTAAAGCCTCTGAATATTCAATATTGTTGCTACTAAAGCTCTGCCTGGGTGGCACAAATGCTAAGTGCTGGGCTATCAACCACTAAGGTGGTGGTTCAAGCCCTCTCAAAGGAATGCTTCAGAAGACAGGCCGAACAATGTGCTTCTGGAAGGAGCCAGCTTTGAAAACTATGGAGCAGTTCTCCACAGAACTAAAAGCCACTCAAAGGCAACTGATGGTTGCTGGTGCTAGCTTTTCTTGTTTACTATTTCATAATAGTATATTATTATCATTATCTCCTTTTCATAGAAGATGCTGAGGTCCAGAGAGGCAGAGTAACTAGTCTAGTGACATACATGATTATATGGATGAGTCAGAACTTGACTACAAAGTCCCCTGCTGAATGCAGGTCTAGCGTGGTCTCTCGGGGCTCACTTGGGTGTGACTCCCCACCCCCATGTCAGGCCTGCCTGCTGTGCCCCCAGGCCAAGGATATCGCTGGTTGTTGGGGTCCTCCAAGAGCAGCTGCAGCTGTGTGGTGCAGACATGGAGCAGACGGTCCAGGTGCCGTTCGCTCTCCTGCAGGTGCCGGAGGTCCTGGGTCAGTCCTTCGAGTTGCCCGCTGATCCCCACTGCTGTGTGGCTGCCCCTGTAGGGAGCCCCCAGGGAGGTTTAACAGCTCTTGACCCCTCTGCCCAGAGCCTGGGCTTAAGGAAGGAAGCTGCCACCACCACTACCTCTATGCCACTAAGTCCCAGGAAAACCCTTGTCCCTGGGCTGTTTCTTCAGATGCGATGCAGCTGAGGGCCAAACCTGGCCTTCCAATCAGACCAGCCCGGAGTTAAATTCTGGCCTGAATGTCTGCAAACATCTGCATGCTGCCCACAGGGGTGGATAGGTAAATGAGTGCAGAGATGTTGTGAAATACTACACAGCTATAATAAAGGACAACTCTGCACTGAGATATACAGGTACAGAAGCATCTCAAAGACATGGCAACAAGAGAGAAAAACAATACAGCACAAATGATCTCCCAAAATTCACAAAGATGTCAGAGGAGCAGAATGACTGAGGGCAGAGGTGGGAGGAAGAAAACACAAGAATTACCAAGAATGAAACAGCTGTGCCAGACAAATCTCACTGATGTCAAGAGAAGCCACGAGTGGGTAGCAACATTGTTGGGAAGCTGGAAATATTTCTTAACTTGCCCCAGAAGGGGGTTACCAAAGTGCACAAAAACGTAAAAGTACATTGAACTAGATCTTTAACCAGGTGTCATGGGCAGGGATGTCTGCTGAGCCCCGAGACTCTGCCCAGCACTGCTGTTCAGTTGGTACCTACAGCCATTGGATATGGTTCTTGGACTTCTTGGTGATGAGCTGGATGCCCTCAAGGACATTGGTGATGTCATAGATGCGCCGTTTCTGCACCTTCAGCTCCTCAGCTGCCCAGTTCAGGTCAACAACACCATCGGTTGAACGGCTAAGCAGGTCCAGGAAGCGTTTGGTGGTCAGATTCAGCGATGTCTCATAGCGTGACTTCTCCCCTGGAGATTTGACACCTGGGAAGAGGGTCCAGAAAAGCAGGGTCCTTTAGCACTTATCCCGGCCCCGGCTGCCAGTACAGAACAGAAAAATGTGGTGTAGAACAGCTCCTGCCCCTTGGCAAGGCCAAGCAAGGAGGTCCTGTGGCTGCTGCCAACCACAGCATTCCTCTCTGGGCCCAGGCATTCCCCAACCCCCAGGGCCTGGGGAAACTGGGCCAGGCATCTACTTCATCTGCCCCTCTGGGCCCCCAGAGGCCTGGCTCAGGCCCAGGCTTGGCAGAGAGCTGAGCTGAGTCTGCAAGCATGCTTATCTATTCACTCCCCTACCTGGGCCTGGCCATGGAGACCTGCCCCAGCCCAAGTTCAGTAGGTACCTTTCCCTGGGTGCCGGCCCCTGCCTCGGCCTGATCCGCTGCTCTCAGCTAGGTACTGATGGTCAGTTTCTAGGTCCAGCCTCCGCTTCACCTATGAAAAAGTAATGGAAGAAGGATGCTTAGTAACCAGGTGAGTGAGGCTATGAGTCTAGTTGAGGGCATGGTGCCTCTGGCTGTCCCCTGCTTCAGTTCCCCTACCAGGATGCCCAAGTGTGTGAGGTCCTAGGAAATGTGGCATGGAGACATCAACCTTGACTCACAAGATGCTCACCTAGAAGGCAGAAACCATGTGATGATAAGTGCTTGTGGTTTATGCCAAAGAGTATATAAATTTCCTTCCTGGACAAAATCCTTCCCCCCCCCCCCCCCCTTTTGTGAACAGATAGGGTCTTCATCAAGTGAGCATGTGTTGGTTATTTCCGTCAGTTATAGAATACACCTTAACATAAAGGAAACAAAACATCCTCACAAATGGATCAATAAGCAGCATCATGATAAATGGAGAAAAGACTAAGTGGTCAAAGACTTCATTTCACTTGTACTCATGTACCCATGGAAAAAATCTATGGCAATCGATCTCTTGAAAGTACTAAAGACACTGTGAGGACTAAGGAGCACCTGACTAAAGACGTGGTATTTTCAATCGCCTCATACGCATGTGAAAGCTTGAGAACAAATGAATAAGGAAGGATTGAAGTATTTGAGTTATGGTGCTGGTGAATAGATCCCATGGTCTGCCAGAAGAATGAACAAATAAATGTCTTAGAAGAAATACAGTCAGATTGCTCCTCAGAAGTGAGGCTGGTCAGACTATCTCACACAGTTTTCTGAAGGGACTAGTCTCTGAAGAACATCGTGCCTGCAAAAGTAGGTCAATGAAGAGAGACCCTCAATGAGATGGATTGACACAGTGGCCATAAAGATGGGCTCAAACAGCAGTGACTGCAAGGATGGCACAGACTGGACTCATTTAACTGATTGTACAGTGGGTCACCATGAGTTGAAACGGATTCGAAGGCACTCAACAATAAACAACGGCACAGTACTTGCCCCATTTCACACATAAGTGAAGCCTAAGGTCATAGAGCCAGGAGTGACAGAGCCAGGATCTCCTCCCTGGACTCTATGAAGAGTCCAAGCTCTTGAACTCTCTGCCCTGGTGGGACAAACATTCAAAGATCAAGACTAACCTGGACATCCCACAGCTATTTCATACATACCTTGATTCAAACCAGCTTAACTCCCTCCTCCACCATGCACAGGATTTACAGAACCAGAAACTCTATTCAGCCCTGCTCACTACACTCATCACATCTAGTTACCAAGAAATCCTACCCCTGCTCATTGGATCATCTAGAGAAGCCCTCCTGCATTCAGATATCCCCCCTCATTGCTAGTCTTCCTTCTCATATATAGATCTTACTTTCCTGTCTCTGATGAAGACCTTCTTCAATTTCCCATTGTCTCCTCAGGTTCATAGCATGCTACTTCCATCTGCCTTCTCCTTGGTACCCAGGCTTCTGACCACCCTGAAGGCAGATCAAGGACACACTTGAAAATGAAGATGTAAACAGACGCCTATTTCTGACAGTTGTTCTCTAGAGAAATCTGCAAGAGGGGCCCTGCGAGGCAGGTAAAGACAGGCATTAGTAAAAAAGCTGAAGACTTCAAAGATCCACCCACAAGGTTTGCCTCCCACTCCCAACCATGGAATATACTTTCCACCTCTGGGGAGAGAAATCTGACTGGTCATTTAATTCTTCCTGATCCTATAATAGAGAAGTCATCTCTTCTCCCTCAATTCCAACCTTTCCCCTCATTCTTTCACTATGAATTACTACAAATGTGTTTTGTCTCACCCACAAGCCAGTGAGCTCATTAGAGGCAGGCACTGGATCGAAATCATCTCTGTACCCAGTGTCTGTCTGGCACAAGGCCTAGGCATCAACAAATGTTTGCTGAATGAATCTCCCCACAGGCTGGCAGGCTGTGACACTCCTCCTCATATACACACAACTCATGACCTGCTCCAGTGTCCTGGGGGAATGGAGGAGAATCTGCTCAGTGCCTCCTATGTATTGAGCACAGTACACAATCCTCAAGTCCTCTAACCCCTTTTATGGCATATAAATGGTTAATGTACCAGGCTGGAAGTTTGGCAGTTCAAATCTATCCAGAAGAACTCAGATAAACTCCTAACAATCTCCTTATGAAAAAAATCAGCCAATGAAAACACTAGGGAGCAGGGGAGCTCTGGTGGCCTAGTGGCAAGGAGCTGCAACTACAATCCCAGAGTTCAAATCCACCAGATGCTCTGCCGGGGAAAGAGGGACAATTGATCTCCTCCTGTATCAGTCAGATCTGATTTGACGGTACACGCACACAAAAATTTAAAAAAAAAAAAATAATAATAATAAAAAAAAAGAAAACACTAGGGAGCACCATTATATTTTGACAAACACAGGGTTGTCATGCACTGGGTATGATTTGACAGCAACTGGCCATCACTTAGGGCAACCTGCATTTTCAGAGGAAACAGTGATTCAGACTATGATGGGTTGACTCAGAACCCGCAGCTGTACCCACGTCCTGACTCCCCAGAGCTCAGGCCAGATGCTGGGTCCTTACAAGCCAATCAAAGTCCACATCTTCCCAACACCGTCTTGCCAACTGATCTCTTCTCCCTGGTACCCTGGCCCTTGCCCACCCTGAATGCCAGTCAGTGTCACACCTGAAAACAAGAGCACAAATAGGTATCTATTTCCGACAGCTGATTAGAGAAACCTGGCACAGGGGAGAAAGGTGAAGAGTGACTGGAGAAAAAACCGAATGACTAAAACACCCACCCACAGCAGAGAGCCATATACATCACTGTGATTTCCTCAGCTCCTAAAATACTACAAAGCTGTCATAAAGAACCAAGGCAGATAGACAGAACCCACTCAGACATTGGCAAGCAAACACAATGCCACAGGGTTATGCATTTGTGATTCTTAGATTGTTGTTGCTGTTATATGCCGTCGAGTCACTTGCAACTCATAGTGACCCTATGTACAACAGCCCTAAACCCTGCTCTATCCTGTGCCAATCTTATTGTCTCTGACACACCTACCCTCATTAGTCCAGTCACTGAGTCAATCCATCTCATCAAGGGTCTTCCTCTCTTGCACTGTCCCTCTACCCTCCCAAGCATGATGTCCCTCTTCAAGAACTGGTCCCTCTTGCAACATGCCCAAAGTATGTCAGACAAAATAAAACCCACAAAATGGCTTTTCTCCAATTCTTTCTCAAACATTAGACACTAATTTATTTCAGGTACAACCTCTGCATGGGGGACTGGGAAAATGGTGGCCTAATGTGCACAGACATACTTCATCCCATTGCATTTTCCATTAATTGTGCTTCACAGATCATACTTTATACAAATTGAAGGTCTGTGACAACCCTGTGAACAGGTCTACCAGTACCACCTTCCAAACAGTATCCTCTCACTTTGCATCTGTTGGTTTGGTAATTCTCTCATTTTAAAATTTTATTTTATTATTGTGTGTGTGTACCGTCAAATCAGATCTGACTGGTACAGGAGGAGACTGCCCCTCCTTCTCCATCAAAGCATCTGGTGGATTCGAATTGTGTACCTCTGGGATTGCAGTGTGGCTTCTTGCCACTAGGCTACCAGAGCTCCCTGACATTATTAACTTTTAACATGTCTAACTTGTATATGTCCTGGGACACCAAACAATTTGTGTGACTTGCATAGTTGTGACAGGTCTAGATCTTAACCTGAAAATCTTCAAGATATGCCCACACAGTGTGAATGCAGTGATGTCTGAATAAGGAAACGGAGAAAAAGGCTGTTTTAAAATGAGGAAAGCCAACTCTCATAACTACATAAAAAAGCATAAACAGGCTTAAGAGAAAGAATTCTGTTTAGTTGGTGAATCCTATCCCCTTTAAATTTATAGTCTTGAAGCATAGATTTACATGGAAAAATAAATCAGTAATAAAAAAATAAATCAACAGAGTAGGGGTAAAGAGGAAGAATGGCTGAATTACACATAGCTTTGTATGCAGTAGGTGCTCAATAAATGCTCATTGGTGAAGCCAAGCCTATAATTTGATGCAGTGATTGCCCCAAATATTAGTGCAGAGGATGGAAAGTCCAGAGATCATGTCCCCACTGGCTTCCCACAAGTATTAAGAGTGAAGGGGGGAAAAAGAGTGGAGAGCAGCAGCTGGACCCACATCTGACCACTTCAGCTCCAGGGTGGTGCAAGCTCCACCATAAGCACCACGGAGCAGGGACTCCTTATTCAAGCGTCTCAGGGCACCCACTAATTCACTAGCCATTGAATGAACAGGCTGCTCAATTTCCCTAAGGCTGTCCCTGAGGGTGGTGGGGTATTTTTTTTCTGCCCCAACCCCCAAGTTCCTACAGTTACCTAGCCTCTACTGCATCTCTGTAGCCCTGGGCCTGTCACATCTCTGTGCCTCAATTTCCCCATCTGTAATAGGGTGAGGCTGTTGAGAGGACTAAGTGGGTTAATTTTGGGGAAAGGGCTTGGCAAAGAGCCCTGCATACAAAATGTGCTCAAACAATGGTGGCTGCCATTGTTATTATTATTAGCATCTTGGTGATTCCGGAAGGAAGACAGGACTGGGCATGGGGCCAACAGGGTAGGGGGTGCCTTCCCGGGATGCCTCAGAGACCAGCTGCCACCCAGGTCCCAAGTGACAGTTGGACAGCTAGCTTCCCTTTCCTGGGCCCTGCCTCATCCCCTCCTGTTGTTCTAAGGCCCCTGCTGAGACCCCAGGTTCCCTGGCCAGCCCCTGCCTGCCTGGGCAGCACCTTCACCCACAGGCTGCTCCAGTCAAACTGGTCTCCACACCCTCCTTCAGCCCACAGGCTCATGCTCGAGGCCTCCACTCCCTTCTCCCACTGTAATCCAGACACCTCCTCTGAACTAGGCCCCCAGTTTGAACTGGTCTTGAACCTCTTAGGGAGGCCTTCATCACATTATCTCCTTGAGACCTTTTATTTCCCCTGGGAAGGGGGTTTCCCCTCCAACTCCCAGAGGCCCAGACCACCCAGTCCTCCCACAGGGGCCTGCCTGATTAATGAGGTTCTATGGCAACCAAGGCCTGGGAGGGTGGAGGGTGGCAGATGGAAGGACAGGCAGAGGGAGGGGACCAGCAGCTGGTCCAGGCGTCTTGCTCCACCCCTGCAGAGAAGGCCTCCCAGCCAGGCGGCCGTCCCCAGGGGCCGAGAGAGCCAGCCTGCACCTGGCAGCAGAGCATGCAGGCAGGAAGTCTCCCCAATATCTTCACAACAGTCTAACCTCAGGATCACCTACACCCTCACATTCACCAACCTTTCTAGTCGCAAATTCCAATCTGGCCTCTGTTTGAGTCCCAGCCCCACCTAACACCAGGGACAAGTCTCTCCCCCTCCCTGGGCCTCAGTTCCTCATCATGGGCACAGTGACAACACCAACTCACACGTGGTTTTGAGTTTTGGCTGGCATTGAGTCAGAGCGCCAGCTGAATCCACGTGGGCCATTATTGTCACTGAGTCTGACCAGGTGGCTTTGGCGAGGAAGCGGAAGGCCAGAGCCCAGAGCAACATTACAAGGACCAGCCCGAGGTCACCCAGTACCCCGGGGCGGAGCCCGGAGGTCCAACCTAGGCTTTGCACCGCTCAGTGCGGACGCCTCATTTCACCCCTCCCCCGGCCCTCGCTGCCTCCTGGCCAAACAGTGTGCCCCGCCCGGGTCGGAATGAGGGGGACGGGCAACACCCTTGGCCCCGTGTCCCTGGGGTCCGTACCGGGGGGCGACCGAGCGCGGGGCGTGGGGCGCTGGGTGCGGGCCGGGGTGCTTGCGGCGTGGCGAAGAGCAGCAGGTCAGCATCTTGGGAACCAGCAGTGGGCGCGGCGGGACCAGCAGGGGCCGGAGGGGCGCTTGCATCCTGCGCCGTAGAGATGATGACGATCTGCGAGGAGTCCAGCAGCCGCAGCGCACCCGCCCCGAGCAGGGCCTCCAGCGCCGGCGCGCATGGGCCGCCTGTAGGGGCCCCGGCCACAGCCATGGCGCTTACGGCCCGCGTGGCCTGGGTGGCAGGCGGCGGCGGCGGCGAGGGCCCATGGCGGCGGGCCGTGGCGAGGGCTCGATCCCGCTCCGCCCCCGGCCGCCGCTGCCTGCAAAGTCCCGGCCACTTTTACGCGCCAAATCCTTTTTGCCGCGAAAGAGCCACGAGCAGCATAAACCCACTACTATTGGCTGCCAGGATTGTGACGAAGATGGGAGCGACGGTATTCATTGGCTGCTATGCGCCGGCCCGGCGACGGGGGTTGGGATGGGGAGGCGGTGCGGTTCGTCGCAGCCACTCAATGAACGGGGCGCGCGCAGGCTTTGTTAGGGCGGTGCCAGACGCGTTCACACTCTCCGCCCTTTGACTAGACAGCCTCTGCCCAAGGAGTGATTGCCCCGCCCCCGCCCTGACACACCCTTAGCGATCCCTCGGGAATGAGTACATTGCTGGCAGAATCTTCATACTAAATCCCACTACACAAACATTTCTGTCTGAAACCTAACTTGACTTCAGACCCTCAACCAAGACCTCCAGAAACTACCTTCTTTTCTGGATTGTCATGCCAACCTCCAAAGCCTAAGCCACACCTCTGACCTCCCACGTGTCCCACCTGTATTTGATTTACTTAGACGCCAGGCAGAGTTGGGGTTGCCAAGAAATCAAGAGGAATGTCTGACCTAATATAGGTCTGGGACTTTTCTGAAACTTCTCTGGCCGCCCAATCTTAGCTGAAATATCTTTAGTAGCTCTTCTTTTTTTTTCCGAGGTTAATATTTTTTAAAAATTATTAAATTTTATTAGTTTTAATGAACATTTACAGAGATTTTGGGTTTTCATTCATTCATTGTTGCAAGTAGCTCTTCAATTCATTCATTTATTCAGCAAACGTTTTGAGAGTGTTTTATGTTCATCTTTTGACCTTGGGGCACAAAGAGTTAACATATTTGTGGTTACTGGCTCTCGTATTAAAGCCTGATCCAGGCTATAGTCTTCGCAATTACGTGCTATGCAATGGAGAGTAGGACAGTAACTAGGGATGATAGAGAATTGATGCTTTTGAGCTGTAGTGCTGAAGAAGAGTGTTGAATATACCAAGGACTGCTAGGAAAATAAACAGGTTCGTCCTGGAGAGGGTGAAGCTGGACTGCACCTTGGAGTCAAGGATTCTGAAACTTCGTCTGACATACTTTGGGCATGTTACAAGGAGGGACTGGTCCTTGGGGAGGGACATCATGATTGGGAGAGTGGAAGGACAGCGCAGGAGAGGAAGACCCTCGATGAGATGGATCGATTCTGTGATTGGGGTGGTGGGAGTGAGTGTGCCAGAGACGGCGAGGCTGGCACAGGATAGAACAGAGTTTAGGGCTCTTGTATATAGGGTCGCAATGAGTAGCAGGCACATAACAACAACTACTTTTGTTGATGTTCTTAGGTCCTATTGCATGAGCAGACAGCTTGGTCCTGGCCTTTCCATTGATGCGACAGTTGTCTTTCAAAGGGTTTTCACTGGCACAGTTTTCAGAAGTCAATTTCTAGGCCTTTTTTCCAAGCCAGTCTTAGTCTGGAAGTGCTGCTGAAACCTGTTCAGCATCATAGGAACACGCAAGTTTCCAGAGGGATGATTGCACGCGAAGTGCTGTGACTAAGAATTGAACCCAAATCACCTGTGTGGTAGGGGAAACTCCACCTTAGACCTCACCGCAGAAAGGAAGTGGGAGAGCTGAGCAGGAAGATGCATTTAAGTCCAAGATGCTGGCACATTCCACCAGCTGTTTCTCATTGCTCAGATCAGCCAGTTTGACCAACATTACCCTCTTGTATGCCAACTCGAGTACCAATACCGAAAATAGAGATGGGTTTGATAAGAGCTAGGGACTTACCTGACATACGATGGGGTGATATATGAGGAAAAAAGTAGCTGGGATACGAAAGATCTTTTGACTTAGTTTAAAATAACACTTCCTCTGTTCCAGCACTGACCACACCATTCAGTTCCTCCATCTACCTCCCATCTGAGCCTGGGAGCCCCAGGAGTGCTGTCCCCTGGTCAGGAGCAGCTGCTGAGAGGAGTATGAAAGAAATAGACTGATTCTGGAGGCTCCCACAATGCAACAAAGAGGTGCTGGTTTTGTAAAAAGGGTCCTTAGGCTTCAGCACTCTGCCAGTGTAGAATCTTTAGGTGCCCAGGAATATGCATTTTTTTGCTTTGTTTTTTTAAAAATATTTTTATTATAATTATTTATTTATTTATTTTTAATGATTTTAATGAACATTTACAGATATTTTGGATTTCCATTCCTTCATTGCTGCACTTTTCTCCCTGCCCAGCCCTCCCCCTGCATTTCCAGTTCGCTCCTCTCTGAAAAGTAAAAGAAACACTGCCTCCCTGGTACACAATCTCCCCACACCCCTACCACCACCCCAAGTACATTCCACTATGCAACTTTAATTGTGGACTCTTGTGATAACCATAATACCCTACATACATAGCTTTTAAATTATTCTCTCCCTCATCTGTTTCAGTGCAGTATACACAATTTATCTAGTTTTTCTCAGTCTTACCCCAACCCTGATATCAGTCCCATTTTACAGCAGTGGCACCAGGCAATATTTCACTCAGTATAATGTCCTCCTGGGTCACCAATTTTGAATAATATTACATGAGTTCCTTGTTTTTCAATGCAGCGTAGTATTCTATTGTGTGAATATACCACAACTTCTCTATCCATTCGTTTATTGATGGGCACCTGGCTTGTTTCCAACTTCTTGTTATTGTGAACAAAGCCGCGATAAACATGGGTGTGCATATATCTGCTTGGATGTCAGAGGAATATGCATTTTTAGCAAGGATCAACTCCCAGCCCTTTTGAGATGATTTTTATACATGCTAAGATTTGAGACTAAGGTGTGCCTGATCCAGGCCATAGTCTTTGCAATTACTTTACTATGCATCAGAAAGCTGGACAATGGCTAGGATTGATAGAAGGAGAATTGATGCCTTTGAGCTGTGGTGCTGGAGAAGAGTGTTGAATATATCATGCATTGCTAGGAGAACAAGCAGGTTCATCCTAGAGAGGGTGAAACCAGGATGCTCTTTGGAGGCAAGGATTCTAAAACTTCACCTGACATCTTTTGGACATGTTGCAAAGAGGGACCAGTCCTTGGAGAGGGGCCTTATACTTGGGAGTGTGGAGGGACAACACAGGAGGAGAAGAAGACCATCAATGAGAAGGATTGATTCAGTGACTGGGGTAATGGGGCTAAGTGTGTCAGAGACAATAAGATTGGCACTGGATAGAGGAGGGTTTAGGGCTGTTGTACACAGGGTCACTGTTAAGGCAACTCGACAGCACATAATAACAACAACAAGATTTTTTTTTTTCAACAACAAGATTTGAGAACAATCTGATAATAACTGTATGACTAAAATGTGTGATGCAGCTTTAAATGTTTGCTTGGTTTCAGTTTCTTCATCTGTAAAATGGGCACACAAACCTTGCTCCATCTCTTCTAGCGTTGCTGGAAGGCTAGAAAACACAAAGGGCCTCAATGTATTTTATAAATTGTGAAGCAGCTTAGGAAAACCTATCTTCTCTCTTCTAATTAGCAATTTGATAAATTATTCATTGAAAATTCTCGAGTATGTGAGAGCTGGCAAGACCACAGAAGGGGAAACAGGCTCATTAAGAGCCAAGATCCTGTGAATCTAGCCATGGACACAATCTAGACTACACTGGATTCCTGGCTTTGTGTTTTGCCTAACCCCCCTTTGTGTCCAGTTAGAGAAGTTGAGGGACAATTCTCCTAAATAGGCACTTGGGTTCAGACAAGAAGTGACATGAAACAGTAATATTCCCATTCCAGATGGAGAATTTCCTTTCCTCATTATCTTCCCAAAGGATCCTATTAGGAGCACTAATACTTCTGTAAAGTCCTCTCATACACAGTAGTCAGTTAACACTGCACATCTATCACATTCATTGCACTGTTCTGATTGATGGATAGGGAAGGCCGGTGTCATTAGTGTTGCCTCATTTTACTATAAGAAGACAGAAGCTGAGCAAGTACAAGTTTAACTAGTAGATGAACATGCCACTCTTGGCCTCTTGATGAGGCCAAGCCCAGCATTTTTCCAAAGCCCTACCCACCCCCAAATGTGCTGTCCCTACCAGGTGTTCAAGTACACAACATCCCAGGTAGACACAGTCATTCCACAATCCCTCGCGCTGCTGCAGGAGCCCAAAGCCTGGTAGAAGACGCAAAGCAAATGCCAGATTTCTCAGTATGAAATCAAAGAAGAGATAAGGACTTCTATATCTAGTAAAACCCACTTGAAAGCCGAAAAGGCCAGATAGAGGGGGGCTCCTCAGTCCCTGAGTTTGGTGGATCCTGATAAAGCTTTTCCCAATGTCTCAGGCTGGTCAGCTTCCAAGAAATCCAGGATTAAAAAAAGACATTTCCATTATGATCTCCTTTCCACCCAATAATCCCATCAGTGAAGGTTGCTTATCCACACTGTGCAGAAGGAAGGAGGTGCAGAGAGATGCAATCGCAGTTCAGAGTCACAATCAGACAGAGATGGAACTTAGCCTGTTTCACTGCAAAACTCTGTCCTTCATACCTGCCACCCTCTGAAATATTTAAGCTCAGTGTTGGCAGGATGATAGTGTGCACCTGCTAACAGTTGTTATGGTGGATAGTGGCTTAGTTAGGTCCCCGGTGGATGGAAATTCTTTGCTTTAAACAAGTAACTGAAATTCGGAGTTTGAAATCACATGGCTGTATTCTAGAAGAAAGGCCTGATCAACTGCTTCTGTTAAAATCTTATGGAGCAGTTCTACTGCACTACACATGAACTGCTGTGAGTCAGAATTCACTTGATGGCAACAAATTTTGGTAGCTTAGTTGGTAGATGGTCACATCTGTCTCTATCCCCACTAATCCCCTATTGTAGAAAAGTCCAAAGAAATGGATGCCCTTGAACCCATGATTCTCTGCCTGGAAGCATCTTTCTCTTGGTTCTTTCCAAGAGGCAAGCTGGCAAGTGTTTGATGCTGTGGTTACCGTATGCTGTCGAGTTAGAACCCACTCACAGTTGACCCTCCAGC